GTGGGACACACACACCCCTGTGCATGAACTCCCTGGGGTTAGATCCAGGGAGAGAAGAACCATTTTAAAATAACGTGGTTGGCCCTTCCTGGTGGTGCAGCGGGTTAAAGCACAGCACTGAGAATCTAAAGCCGCTTCCACATGAGTTCGATTCCCGCTTGCCCCGGAGGTGACCACATGGTGTGGCAGACCTCTCCTGACCCGCCCGCTGCTCCCCTCAGCAGTGTACTTCATCAGTCTGCCTGTTCTGTCCCACACTCTGTCTCTGGTGAATCCTCTCGCACACCCCGACCCCGCATGTGTGGCTTACATCCCAGTTCTTGTATGCATGAATAAACCTTAAAAAACTACTAAATAGATAAAAAATGAGTATTCTAGCTTTTCAGAGAATAGTGACAAACAATTGTATATTTTCTTGAGGAAACAACTACAACTTAGGCAATGTATTGAGGGGGTGGGGGTAGGTGTGTAGCAAAAGGAAGAATTCCCCAAAGTCAAACTGACTGAGGACATCTTGCTATCATCTGGGATAATGGTAGAAAAAAGCTTGGGAAGTGGCATCTGGAAGGATAAACTTTATTGTTTCAGTTTAGTCAGTTGAGAACTTCTATTGCAAGGTGACACACAGCCAGACCTTTCCAGGCATGATTTCAGATGTTATATCCTATGCTTACATCAACTATTCAAATACCCTCTAGATAAAGGCATTTAGACATGCAACTACATCTCAAACTCTCATACCTAAAAAGTTTGAAAATCATCTATCCTTTATTTTGGTTGAAAATTATGGTGACTGTTGTCTAGGAAATGTTTTTCCTTTCACACTATACATCTGGGATACAATCAAGTGCCAGCAAATGTGAAAATCTGAGTGCAGTATGGATATTTCAAAAGTCTATACCAAATAAACCATCATAGTAAAAAGAGAAATCACTGCTGTTTACAAACAGAAGCTCTAACAAAATTGCTAGGGGAATATCAGAACCCAGAATTGGCAATTCAGTTAAGCTGAATAGACACATATTGGAAATCTACACTTACACTCTTCAGACCATGGACTGCGGGAGGCCCAGTGGTCCTTGTGAGCCCAGCCTCCAACTTCACCTATATCTGGTTTAGCTGAGGCCGACAGCTGTCAAACTTAAGCTCAGAGCAATCCTCACTTCAGCATTTCTATTGGAGGGGAATTAGAGTTGAATTAACAATCTAGAAATTTCCCAATGCAAGATTTTGTTCCCTATAAAATTTTAAGCAAATGGGGCAAGGAACAAGCAAAAAACAGAGTTGGGAGGGCTTCAGAAAGGAACAAAGAGAGATTTTCCGTAGGCCCCATGTTTAGGGCCTGTGCCCATAGTTAGGTTGAGCGTATTAGATATTCCTAGTTTCAGGGCACAATTCCAGTCTTCAGTCAAGTTCTTATTGTACCTTTTTAGTCACTTCACTACAAAATCAGCCAGTGGCTGAATGAGCTGATAGTAGGGTGAGGGGACACAGACGCACTCCCTAATGATCTGAGTGTCTGTGGAGGGAGGGAATGAGGAAACCCGTTGAGGGTGAGCCGGCATCATCCCTTCATGTGAAGCCAATGATAAGACTTCAGGTGTGTCAGCAACGCCCATTAGGAGTTTACATAAATTACACCTAGAATTAGGGCTTCGACAATTCCACACACTTGTGTATGCAGAGAAGGACCTGGGTGAACTTGAAAAACAGCTGCCAGCCACATTAAAATGAGAGTGGTAGAATCTCAGAAACATCTTCCTTTTTCTGAAAGCAGCATGAACATCAAGTGACAAAGGGTGAGAACTCTGCATTAGCTACTCGTTGTGATTCCACAGCCTCTGGGGAGGGGCAGAAAGGGACTGAGAAAGGACTTGAATACAGTGTTACTCTAAAAGTGGACTACTTTTCTATGGGAGGAATGAGCCCTAATCTTTACACACACACACACACGTATGTATGTATGTATGTATGTATGTATGTATGTATGTATGTATGTATGTATGTATATAAACTGAGATGGAAAAAGGCACAAAATGATGTTTCACCTAAATCCAACAAGCCTTTAGATCTACCTTCCAATTTGAAGTATATACAGGTATAATTCAATGCACAAGAAACAAAAAATCCAGAATATGGGACACTGTAAGACAGATAACGGATGTCCTTGCGAAACTATTGGAGTCCTGATTAAAACTAGTGCCATGAAAAGATTCTTTCAATTCTAGACTAAAAGAGATTCAGGAGATATAGCAACCAAAGCTAGGCATGGTCCTGCCCTGGGTCCTCATTTAGATAATTCTGGGAGCACTTTTTTTGGGAAAGATTTATTTATTTATGCTTACAGAACTGGGGTACAGGCTAGAGGTACAGAGGGCAAGAGGATTCACCAGAGACAGAGTGGGGAGCGGAACAGGCAGATTGACAAAGTACACTGCCGAGGGGAGCAGCG